CTATATCCTATAGTATAATATATTATTTCCTTTCAATTCATTGATCAAATGTTTAATTTAAGTAATGAAGGCCATATTAATCTTCAGCATACTAGAGGATGTTGAGAACTGGGAATTTTTGAAAAATTTTATTGAGTGCGTATTTAATAACTTTACATTTAACGAAAACGATTTAAATAAAATCAAAGTAAGGATAACAAACTTACTGCTCACCAGATTAACAGATTGTCCAACAATATAATTCAATTAATACAGTTTATTCATTAACTTTTCATAAATACACTATATTTCCGTCAATTTTGCACTGATTTATTTCTACGATTTAATAATGTAGCACAAGTAAAAATAAATTCCATTTTATAAGAAAACGTAGCAGTAGATCTACTTACAAAGACGTTTAAATAAGTGTTTTTATGTATTCAATTGTAGTCAGATAAGCAGCTGATACAATTTTTATCCAACATCAGATATGAACAAGTAAAAAAAATAAAGTACCTGAGTTGCTGGATAACCAACCAACTGGACCCGAATCACGAGATTAAAACAAATAACAAAGGACAATAACATCATCCTATAAGAAGGAAGTCTAGAAAATCGAGGATGAGGCTCTTCGTCTTTTTTAGATGCAAGTATTATTAATGCTGTTATGTGTGGTAGATCCTATTGTATCGTTGTGAGACATGGACGTTAAAAACCACAATGCTAAACAAGTTAGAAGCATTCGAATTGTGGTGCTATAGACGAATCTTAAAGATATCGTGGGTTTCGCACACTTCCAATGAAGATGTTCTTCAAATGATGAATTCAGAACGTCTCCTCATAAACACCAAAAAGAGGAGAAAAACAAAATACTTCGGCCATATAATTAGAGGACCTAAATACCATTTACTTCGCCTTACAATACAAGGAAAAGTGGAAGGAAAGAGATGGATTGGTCAAAAGAAACTTTCATGGCTGCGTAATATTAGACAATGGTGTGGTTTCACAGTAGAAAAATTATTTCGCGCAGCAGCCGACAGAGAAAGGTTTCAGGAAATTGTAAACATGATGACGGCCAACGTCTGAATACGGACACGGCACCCAAAGAAGAAGATTATTAATGCATATATTATTATGTACACAAAAAGTCACGATCAAAAACATAATACCTACAAGGATTTTAGGATTCGTCTTGGAAAAGCTCTCATAGATTCCACTTGTGATACTTAAAAACAAAAAAATGGGGTACTTTGATGTTCCAGACGAAATTCGGCTGATAAATGTTTTTTTTTTCACATTATCCAGATGTTATTTCCCACCTAAAAACATTATTTTAAGAATAGCGGAAAAATAATTCACACCGATTTTTTTTATTACTTTTTTACTTATATTAACAAACATGTTTTATTTACTTCCTTTAGATACAAAAAGTGTACAAACAAACTAATTTCTTCTCCTTATATCTCATGTCTTATTAACACCTATTATGACCTGGCGTTACATATGTCTAACGTTTGTAGAATTGGTACACTTGGTTACTATTATTTGGTTACCTATTAGCAGGTAGATGATGTGAAAGTCCAGTTGTCAAAAGATATTTCTGTCGTTAGAAGTGAGCTGTGTGTAATACCTTTGAATATATTTTTAGTTTTGTGTGATTTATTTCTGATGAACATGGCTGATTCGATGGAAGGCCGTCTATTTCAAGGTTAGTATTTCTTTGAATAGAATTTCAGATGAACTTCGTTATGATAGGATGAACTATCTCTTAACTATCATTCCTGACAAGAAGCGACACCGTTGTATGGAGAAGGTTGTTCTTCCAGTACGAGAACTATGTGCAACAAATGTGATGTTGTCATTTGTTTTAAGTGTAACATAATATTTCATACAAACTCTCTTGTGTCATGTCATGTCTTTTGTGTTTGAAATCTTATTTAGCGTGTCTCGAAAAATCGAGACGTATGTAGTAACCTTGCGGTATACAGTAATATACATAACAAACATACATTTATAATACACTTATTTTAAAAATTAAATGACGTTAAATTAAATTAAAATTAAATAAAGGTAAATAGAATTAAATAAAAATTAAGTAAAATTAAATAATATTAAGTAAAATTAGGTGAAATTGTATAAAATGAAGTATAATAAAATAAAAATAAACAAAATTAAACAATTAAATAATATAAACAAAATTAAGTAAAATTCGATAAAGTTAAATAAAATAAACCAAATTAAATAAAATTACACAAAATTAAATTAAATGTAATGATAATCAGAATAAAGTTATTAAACATAAATACAAGATAATAATAAAAATGTAAATGATGAATAAATTCTATAATATATTTAACAAATTTTGAAAACTACTAAAATCATTAAATAAAATCGCGAAAGAAAAAAAATTAAGATTTTAGATATTAGAACTTAAAAAATAATAACAGTTCGGTAGTAAGCAGACGTCAAATTTCGGTAAAACACATCGTAATAATGAGCTATACGAAGTATCCACTTCTGTCGGCACTCAGCGTATTTTAAAAAGTACTATTATTTATATTTTTCTACCTTTACTTAATCCAAAAATGTAAAAAAATGTGTGTGGCTTTATAAAATATAGAGAAAATAAGAATAACATATCAACGTTTGAAAAAGCTCTAGAAGTTATACTGTGAAGAGAACTCAAAATGACGAAAGTATGGAAAATGAAATAATCTTCACCAAAAAAGTATCGCATCACTTATAAAATTACAAATATTTCTGACAGCATTTGGTTAATTTAAATTATTTCTTTCTGGTCCTTAAGAATATTAAGGCTAGAAAAAATATTAAAAAGAAATTTGTAAATACAGCTTACTGTTTAAGAAAAAAAATGTTAATTGCTATTTTGTTTGGTTTTTCTTATCGGTCTTTAGTTTACTTTTGTAAAAAGTATACAGTTTGCGTTTAATTTAAAATTTCGTATTAAATATTGAGTATGGAAGGCCATGACAATATAAATTTAAATTTAACGAGAGATCAAGTAGATCACCGGGAGACTGGTCTTTATGAAAGACGAGTTGTAACATGTCGGCCAAGAGCAACTACGCATGTGGACAATAGATTTTAGTCCTTCAGGCTTTGCGTCGAAGACATCTGACTGCAAGTCAATTTCTGCATGACTTAGCCGAGATTCGAAATGTACGTGTGTCTTCAGAAACTGTTACGCACATCTTAAGACAGTCTGGAATTAGGGCCAGAGTAGCCAAAGTGCCACTGCCCCGAGACTTACAAGGGAACACCGTATAGTACGTCTAATATTTGCAAGAGAATACGTAAACTGGAATATCGACGACTGGGGGTAATCAAAATTCGGATTGAAGAATACCAGTTTATAGGCGAGATGGCGAGCGTTATTTTCAATGTAACCTGCGACAAACTTTGGAGGAGGATCTATTATGGTCTGGGGCGGAATATCTCTTAGGGGTCAAAACGAATTGGTACAGCTAGATGGAGGATCCTTAACTGCTGATAGGTACATTAGAGAAATTTTGGAGATGCATGTTGTTGCTCACGCCCCATTTATTGGTAATGACTTTAGTTTTAATGCATGACAATGCACGCCCACACGTCGCAAGAATCGTTATCGAGTAAGAGGTAAATTTACAAATTTTGAATTATCCAGCGCACAGCCCGGACTTAGATCCAATAGAACATGTTTGGGACCATCTTTACAAAAGGGTGAGATCTGGTAATGCGACTCCAGAATCTTCAGGACCTGCAACGGTTATTAACCGTAGAATGGGATAATATCGATTAAGATTAATTGGAAGTATGCCACAACGTATGACCTGAATGACCTGAAACGCACACATCAAAATTGGATGCAGGCGGCTCAGGACAGAAATTTGTGGGGTGAACTGCGGGAGGCCTAAGTTCAGCAGTGGACAAGTATGGGCTGAATTATGATGATGCCACAACGTTGTCTAGTTGTTATAAGAGCTAGAGGAGGCAATACGTCTTACTAAATTATTATTACTTTTTATGTTTATTTTCTTTTATTCAATGCTGTTTGCGCGCTTATTTCTAATTTATGAAATAAATTAAATAAAACCTTTGTTTTCCGTACATTCTGCACTTTTCTTTTAATATTTGTTACGTTTTTAAAACAAAAAAAAAACAACAGTAAAAAATCAATGTTTTAAATTATTTTTAATACAAAATTTGCAGTTTCATAAGTGATGCGATACTTTTTCGGCAGAGTGTATATCCCAACGTGATTGCAAACATTAACAGAGGATATTCGCCAACACAAAAAGGATACTATGTACATATAACCACGTTTATAATTATAAAATTTTAATGAAAATCATTTATAAACACTATTTCTTACTGAGTTTTGTGGAGACTTAACTTTGTTTCAACCTATTACTTAAGGGTTACCCTAGGTTATCAGTTCATGGAAATAGCTGTGTTATTCCATGAACTCACAACTATTCATGGCATAATATATGGATGTCGACTATTTTTAGGGACGTACGTAATTACCTAACGTGGTCCAAAATATTTAATATTATTTTTTTAATTAAATTAATACTTTTTTAAAAACGATGTATTTGATATTCCGTGTTAATTTCGGTCCAAAGCCGCATGTTTTCTATTATGTTGTCAATGTTTTGCATAATATAAAACATGAAAAAGCATGAAAATTATTTTAATTCCCGTCCTACATATGCCGTAATACCTAACATAACAAGGCTGATATTTAGGCTGATATAGCGGCTGAGTTTAGGATTAAATCTTGCAAATGTATGTTTAAATACCCGATGCAACGGATTTTCTAGAAAAAAATATATTATATCACTGATTTAAAAACCTAATTGTAATAATAATCATCAAACATAATAACATATTTTTAATTTAACCTATAATTTTCAAGGAAATACCATTAGAATACCCAGTTTGGACGCTTATCAGTAGCAATTTTGCATAAGTTTATATTCCACTATCAGTTAAATTTAAAACGTATTTTCAATTTTAAATCAAACATTTTCGTCCAAGTCCTCATTAAAAGTTACTTTCTTTCTCTTCGTGTCAGGACTACTTTCATCTGAAAGACTGTCTTCACTATCACCCCGTTTGCGTTTTTCACCTGCCACTTCGTTATTCTGCATCTCGCACGATGTATCTAAATTCACAATTTCTGAGTCTTCGTTACCTGCATATGACATTCCCTCAAATGCGGCGAGTGTCGCTTCAATACTTTTACTATCGGCCTCCGACATGCTAAATTCAAGATCATCGTTTTTCGATTCATCCAGATTTTCTTCATTGTCTGCTTCTCCATTGTCTGTTTCTCCATTGTCTGTTTCTCCATTGTCTGTTTCTCCATTGTCTGTTTCTCCATTGTTTATTTCCCCATTGTCTATTTCCCCATTGGCCTCAATTTCTTGCTGCTCAGTTACTTCTTTATTTCGACTGTTTTCTTCTTCCGCTTCTTCCAAGTCATTTTCCTCGATGTCTTGGCTTAGGTCTTCTTCTGTGTTCTCGCCATTTTGCTCTGTAAAATTTAAATGAATTATGTTTATGTCCAATTAAAACAAATAACTGAATAAGATAAAATCAAAAACAAAAAAGACAAGTTGTTCTTTAATTTACTTTTAATGTCATTCACATTACATTATGTTCATTTGTTATACAAGAACCTTATTTTTAAATATCGATTATATAATTTATTCCAAAAAAAAAATTCGTAAGGGATTTGACCAAGTTGTCCAATATTTATAAAACGTATTTTGGAATTCCAAGTATGACCTTTAGAGGCGCAGTGAGGGTAAACGATATAATAAGTGAATTTTTGGGAAAATATGCCACTATTTTCTATAACTTTAAATATGTACATATTTTAAATGCCTAATTTAAGCTGCCTCAATCTAGGGTGCTGCTAAATCTTTTGAAACTAATGCAGTTCTAAAAAATCAAATTTTTACCCGAATTGACTGTCTAAAGATTACTTGGAATTGATATTAACTGGATATTTGCAGGATGCAATTAGTGTTAACCTGTATATTTAATAGCATTAACTGTAACTGTTTTGAAGTTATTTTCTTGTGGCATCTTAAAGACATTACTATTTTATTGGGAATAAGCCACAATTGAAGTTTAAAATTTAAATTTTATTTAAAGTTTATTGACGCTTCAATTTCGACTTCGGAAATCGTTCTAAAACGTGTGATGTTTGGAGGTAATTAAAAAGTTTTAATCCAACAATAACATAACCTTAAAACATGAACATTGATAGTAAATATCTTAATACTTTGATATTCTTACCGCACAAATTCCCGAACAAATTCATAACCAAAAGTCCTTATTTACACTTCAAACAATTAAAAAAAATCAATATTTCCAATTTCTTATGGGACAAATACACAGGAATTAGAAATGTTTGGAAAGGATCTTATCGATCTTATCTTATCCTCGGTACACAAATATCCAAGTTTTTAGTTAAAAATTCTGAGGGTCATGTTTACACCATCAGGATGATATCAAATTCTGATTGTATTATATTTATGTAGGTATAGTGTTTTATACCTGTATTATGTTTAATTGTGCTGACTAGGGCAGTTAGGAATCTTACACTTTTGGCCAAGAAACGCATAAACGCCCAATACTCCACAAGGAGGGATGGAACTAGAGAGATGTGTAATTGGAGATAATGTGACTCTGACATTCTATTTATCCGATAATGTTGATGTATTCTTATTTCTGACTTCTTCTGTTAATATTGTCAACCAGAGCCTGCTACATTCTCGGCCTGCAGTTTTCGGCGCAATCTTAAGCTATTTTAACTCTTCAAAAATAAAGACATCAACATATATCCTTCCATTTAATTTTTTTAAACAAGCCGCTCATGGTTAAAGAGATAAAGATAATTATTAAAATCAATCATGTGTGCTCCTCTCTTTGTGTGCTTTGTGGACTTCAAGAGAGCTTTTGACACGCTCACACATACGGCCATATGGAAAGCACTGCAGGAAATAGGAATACCAGAAAAAATAGTAAATCTCATCAAAGAACTCTACAGTGACACAGAAAGCAAAATCATACACAACGGCATAACATCTGACCCAATAGCTATGCTAAACGGAGTAAAGCAGGGCTGTGTTTTATCCCCCATACTATTTAACATTGTACTGGACTCCGTACTAACAAAGGTAAACTCTAATAGAGGAATTTACTGGGGATTAACAAACAGACTGGAAGACCTAGATTACGTTGATGATATATGCCTCCTAGCACATACAAAACAGGACATGCAACTCCAAGTAAACAAAGTACAAGAAGAATCAAAGAAGGTTGGTCTAGAAATAAACATCAACAAAACCATGATTGAAAAATGCGATTTGGTACCAGAAACAACCAACCCATTATGATCAACGACCAGAAAATTGAGAGAGTAGCGGAATTTGTATATATGGGCAGCATAATTGACTGTAATGGGGGTACAGAGCGTGATGTACATGAAAGAATAAATAAGGCTCGCAACGCCTACAACATGCTTAACAACATATGGAAATCCAGGATTTACCCAACTAAAACGAAATTAAAAATCTTCAACACAAATGTAAAAGCTGTATTACTGTATGGCTGCGAAACGTGGAAGATATCAGCACCCATAGTACACCAATTACAAGTTTTCATCAATAGAGCGTTACGAAAAATCCTTCGTATATTTTGGCCTAACCGAATCTCCAATGAAAATTTATGGAACAAAAGCAAACAAGAAAATGTTATAAAGCAAATAAGGCGAAGAAAATGGAGATGGCTGGGCCACACACTCCGTAGACCGCCAAATGACATTGCCAGGACAGCGCTGGATTGGAATCCCCAAGGCCGACGGAAAGTAGGCAGACCTAAGGGAACTTGGAGAAGGACAGTACTGGACGAAGGGAAAAAAATGGGAAAATCCTGGCTTGAAATCAAAGCACTAGCCAGAAATAGAGTTCGCTGGAGACACTTTGTGGGAGCCCTATGTTCCTCTTAGGAATCTTGGGACTATATATATATATATATATATATTATATATATATATATATATATATATATATATATATATATATATATATATATTAAAATCAATCATACCCACCTCTATCAGAAGCTGAAACTTACTATTAATACCAATGCATAAAAATAATAGTACAATAGATCTAATTGTTTTTAAAATCTTCATATTAAATTGAAGTACCCTTATAAAAATTTAATAATAAACAAACAAGTTTTTCAGAAAACGCTGAACTTAAACTGCCGTCAAACGGTCTTGCACTATAATGCCGTTGACAGCTATGACGTCATTCGTATGATGCGTTTGACGGCATTTTCTTCGACTGCCGTTCGCTTTCACTTGCAGTTCAGCATATATACACTTGGTAAGTTAAGGTCGCTTTACATTTACGAGTACTCGGATCCGAGTAGCTCGGATTTGAGTTATGAGTGGAACTGCGATCGTTTACATTAAATCCGAGCGATCAGAGTAGTTTCAAAGAGAATTTAAAAATGGCGCCATCAAGAAAGAAACGAGCTGCTGTTGCATTAGTGTTATTAAACATTTTAAAGGAGAAAAATAATGACAAAAAATTAAGACAAAGAAAAGCATTTGGGTGAAACAACATTTACAAGAGGTTTGTTAAAGTTAATGATTACCTAATTTAATTTAATTTAAAGCATTATTTCCTTTGATAATGTCCCGATACTCCTTTAGTTTCACATTCAAAAGAACGATAAAGTTCGATAAATTGATCCATTTGATCTGCAGAAAATCTTAGTCCCGCCATTTTTAATTTGGAATTTCCACCACTTTGACACTCACTCGTACAGGAACTCGTACTGCTACTCGGTTTGCGTTCAACTTCAATCCGAGCTCGGATCCGAGTGACAAGAGGCTCCGAGTAGACGTTTATACTTCCGAGTTGCACTCCGAGTAGAGTAACTCGGATCCGAGTACTCGTAAATGTAAAGCGGACTTTAATGTACGAGTTGAAGATTCTCTTATAGGTTCTCTGTTAATTATTGTGGGAATAATGTGATTAAATAAGTTTGAATGACTTAGGTAAGTGTCATTATTGGGAGTCCGTTCGTTTTCTAAATATTGGTTCTTTTGGTCAATTGGTATGTCAATGATGTTAAAAGTTAAAAGGCAATACATTTTCCTCATTTGTCGATGCAAAAAAGCCATCTCGGAACTTGGAGAAAGTACATTTACTACGCATTGGAAACAAGATGCACGTACTATTGCAAGCAGTAAAATTAAGAGGCCGATAGAAAGCTCTTTAATCTATGCACGCAATCATAGTGGAAGGAAGTTCAAGAGCAGTGGGAAAAAAAAATTCGGCAGACTTGGACATTCAAAGAAGCTTGCCCAGTACATGTACGATTCAACATTAGATGGAAATGTGTTAGAAATAACGTCAATTCAAACTCAGCACAACCATCATACCTCAAAAGTAAGCATATAATGATTATCAATAGGTGCAACGTCGTCACTTTTAACCAAATTGGAGTTTATTTGGGTTTCTGCATTTGAATAAATTTAATTTATTAATTTTAACAATATTGGACAACATATTATTAATAAACTTAATAAATAATGAACTTTCAAATCATACTAAATGGTTTTATCATGACTTTTGATTATATTTCACTTTTTATTTCATTTTTGGAAATACATACAACATTTTATATTTTCATTTCATATCTAATTTTAAAGTTTTACATGCACATACCCCGGGTAAAGAAAACTTTCCAGCAACATGAAAGAAAGTGTAAAGGAGTTTTTAAATATTAAAGCAAACAGAAAGATGTTACAATAAAAATTGCAAGAATAAACTGGAAAAATTATTACTTTGCAAGATTTAACCAATTTGAGAAGAAATAATCCAACAAACAAAAACAGAATGTCTGGATAACTGCTTAAATGTGTTCAAAGCAAAATATGGCAACCTGAACTATTCTATTATCGCCAAATAGATAAAAACTAATTAGCTACTATTATTTTCAGGTGTTCATTCAGCTGTCTTGCAGGATGAAGAAAATAATTTTAAAGAAATTTTTATTCAAACTCCAACCATGAAAAATACAATGAATTTATTTCCAGAATTTCTTGCAGTGGACGCTACATATATATTACTAAAAATAGGATTACCTGTTTTTCTTATTATTGTAGAAGACGGTAATTATCAAACTGAAACAGTGGGGGTTTGCATGCTAGCATCAAAAGAAAAGGAAAGTTTCACCTGGTTTTTAGAAACATTTAAACGCGAAAATTCATCATGTATTTTCGAGAGACAAGGATTTACATGAAAGGGAAGTAAATTGCTTTCCTAATACAAACCTTATTATGTGTCTTTCACACATTAAAAATCTTTTATCGAGAAATTTAATGCAATAAAATGAGGATCACACCAAATGAGTGTACACTTATTTTAGAACTAATTCAAAAATTAGTCTATGCTAAGCAAGACGGAACGATTACAAAAAGGTTATTTGAAAAGACTAGCTAAG